CTGGTGGTCCTCACTAGTCTACCACCACACACACTGACCCTCACACTACACTGGTGGCCCTCACTAGTCTACCACCACACACTGACCCTCACACTACACTGGTGGCCCTCACTAGTCTACCACCACACACTGACCCTCACACTACACTGGTGGCCCTCACTAGTCTACCACCACACACTGACCCTCACACTACACTGGTGGCCCTCACTAGTCTACCACCACACACTGACCCTCACACTACACTGGTGGCCCTCACTAGTCTACCACCACACACACTGACCCTCACACTACACTGGTGGCCCTCACTAGCCTACCACCACACACTGACCCTCACACTACACTGGTGGCCCTCACTAGTCTACCACCACACACTGACCCTCACACTACACTGGTGGTCCTCACTAGTCTACCACCACACACACTGACCCTCACACTACACTGGTGGTCCTCACTAGTCTACCACCACACACTGACCCTCACACTACACTGGTGGTCCTCACTAGTCTACCACCACACACACTGACCCTCACACTACACTGGTGGCCCTCACTAGTCTACCACCACACACTGACCCTCACACTACACTGGTGGTCCTCACTAGTCTACCACCACACACTGACCCTCACACTACACTGATGGTCCTCACTAGTCTACCACCACACACTGACCCTCACACTACACTGATGGTCCTCACTAGTCTACCACCACACACTGACCCTCACACTACACTGGTGGCCCTCACTAGTCTACCACCACACACTGACCCCTCACACTGCACTGGTGGCCCTCACTAGTCTACCACCACACACTGACCCTCACACTACACTGATGGTCCTCACTAATCTACCACCACACACTGACCCTCACACTACACTGGTGGTCCTCACTAGTCTACCATTAGTCACACTGACCCTCACACTACACTGGTGGCCCTCACACTACACTGGTGGCCCTCACTAGTCTACCATTAGTCACACTGACCCTCACTAGTCTACCACCACACACTGACCCTCAATAGTCTACCACCACACACTGACCCTCACTAGTCTACCACCAGACACTGACCCTCACACTACACTGGTGGCCCTCACTAGTCTACCACCACACACTGACCCCTCACACTACACTGGTGGCCCTCACTAGTCTACCACCACACACTGACCCTCACACTACACTGGTGGTCCTCACTAGTCTACCACCACACACTGACCCTCACACTACACTGGTGGCCCTCACTAGTCTACCACCACACACTGACCCTCACACTACACTGGTGGCCCTCACACTGACCCTCACACTGACCCTCACACTACACTGGTGGCCCTCACACTACACTGGTGGTCCTCACTAGTCTACCACCACACACTGACCCTCACACTACACTGGTGGCCCTCACTAGTCTACCACCACATACTGACCCTCACACTACACTGGTGGCCCTCACACTACACTGGTGGCCCTCACTAGTCTACCACCACACACTGACCCTCACACTACACTGGTGGCCCTCACTAGTCTACCATTAGTCACACTGACCCTCACACTACACTGATGGTCCTCACTAGTCTACCACCACACACTGACCCTCACACTACACTGGTGGCCCTCACTAGTCTACCACCACACACTGACCCTCACACTACACTGGTGGCCCTCACTAGTCTACCACCACACACTGACCCTCACACTACACTGGTGGCCCTCACTAGTCTACCACCACACACTGACCCTCACACTACACTGGTGGCCCTCACTAGTCTACCACCACACACTGACCCTCACACTACACTGGTGGCCCTCACTAGTCTACCACCACATACTGACCCTCACACTACACTATAACTGAAGCAGGAGCCAGGAGAAGTACCCGGAATAAGCGACCATTTGAGGTGTGAGGAAGGTAGCCTCACAACCTCCACTCACAACCCGGTAACAACACTACACTTCACTCCTACAACCACAGCTTCAGATAAACTTACTGATACTTTCATTCTTAAAAGAAAATGTTGACTATTATTTTCATACAAGTGTCACAACCTCTTGGCATGTTAATTAACCATCAATATATTATTAAGTCATCAGTCAATATTCACAAAACACGTTTCCTAATACTTTTCAAATAAATTATACACGCACACATTTTCAAGTATACATGTATACTTGAGTGGTGGGGACTTTCGACAAGCCGCCGGCTTCCCGTCCTCGCCGAGGCCACTAGGGTTAGTGGCCCTCGGGTAGATCAAGGTATATACAGGTAGGGCAGTGCCGCGTGAGGGTGAAAGACCAGTGAAGCCATCACTTAGGCCGCGCGGGGCCGTCTACACATGTACGGTACACATCAAGTACGGTACATTTCCCCCATTACACACTGTTCACTCCCGGAGTGTTGCGAGTACACTAGCCAGTGTTCCTGGCGGAGTAGAGCCACGGGTGTCCGGGAGGCTGGAGGAGGAGGAGGACACTCGCTCTACCGGCACTAACTTGCCCCCACACACTACACACGCTCTCACTCGCACACTCAGCTCTACCGTGCACGCTCTCTCACGCACACTCAGCTCTACCTGGAGTGTAAACACTACACACGACTCCAGTATCTGCCAACTTCCCCCGAGAAACATTGTAACAGGAGGTGCAGCAGGCGGGAGAGCGGCCCTCTACGTCAGGCGGGAGTGTCAGGTAGAGGGGGAGGCTCTGGACACTAGAGATTGGGGGAGTATGAGGCGCTATACGGTGATGGAGGTGTGTGTGGTGGTGGACGCTCCCTGTCCGCTAGGTAAATAGCCCTCCTGCTGCTGCTGGCCTCTCCACCTTCCTCTCCCCCCCCCACTCTCCCCTCACCACAACCCCCCCCACTCTCCCCTCACCACAACCCCCCCACTCTCCCCTCACCACAACCCCCCCACTCTCCCCTCACCACAACCCCCCCACTCTCCCCTCACCACAACCCCCCCCACTCTCCCCTCACCACAACCCCCCCCACTCTCCCCTCACCACAACCCCCCCCACTCTCCCCTCACCACAACCCCCCCCCCACTCTCCCCTCACCACAACCCCCCCACTCTCCCCTCACCACAACCCCCCCACTCTCCCCTCACCACAACCCCCCCACTCTCCCCTCACCACAACCCCCCCCACTCTCCCCTCACCACAACCCCCCCCCCCACTCTCCCCTCACCACAACCCCCCCCCACTCTCCCCTCACCACAACCCCCCCCCACTCTCCCCTCACCACAACCCCCCCCCCACTTTCCCCTCACCACAACCCCCCCCACTCTCCCCTCACCACAACCCCCTCCACTCTCCCCTCACCACAACCCCCTCCACTCTCCCCTCACCACAACCCCCCCCCCCACTCTCCCCTCACCACAACCCCCCCCACTCTCCCCTCACCACAACCCCCCCCACTCTCCCCTCACCACAACTCCCCACTCCCCTCACCATAACTCCCCCCTCTCCTCCCACCCCCGCGAATTGAGAGAAATTAACTCAATATGAAAGTACTTCCAGTCTCTATCACCTATCCAGTCACAACTAGCCAAAACTGGGAACCAATGAGCCAGAGCTCAACCCCCACAAGCACAACTAGGCGAGTACCTATCCGCAATTATGTCCCCATACATCGTCTCCCTGCTGTATTAGCGCCAACCTCATTCACCAGGTACCTCTCAACACCTCTCATCTCTCACCATCCTCAAGATTCACCCCTCCCCCCCTCCTCACCATTACCAGTAACACACATCTTCCCCCACCTAATAAAACATTCCCCCTCACCACCCAAGACAACCACCACCCCCGCCTCGCATCATGGAACCCCCCCCCCCCCAACATCACGGTCCGTCATCTACAGCAAAACATTAACCCACAACACAAATATCCCAGACACGCATTCTTGTGTAATAGCTGGGAGGGGGAGGATGGGGAGTGACAGGGAGGGGGAGGAGTATATGACAGGGAGGGGAGGAGTGTGACAGGGAGATGTGGGTATATAGCACAGTGTCTTGTATTGCATTATCTTGTAACACTATAAATGTGTTTTAATGATATTTACATACAACATGAGTCAGCCAGACAGGATATTGAAAGGTGCCAGGTTGTCTGACTTAAGCAATTAATAAGTCACACCTATAGGAGTTAATGACCACAAGTTGACCAGGGGTCAGGTCGTGTGAATTGACCTTCCTTCTGCCAAGATTATAATTAAAGACGGTTGGTGGTGTCTTTCCATCAAACAAGCCGCTGTTTAAAGTATGGTAGGTAGAGAGCCTGGGTAGGTAGAGGTTCTAAGTACTTAGTAGGCGGGGCTTCGCTCTCGGGTTCCCCATAAATACCCAGGGAACTGTATATTTGAGAGCAGCAGATAGAGCAGAGCAGACACAGAGGATTGAAGGAGTGAGTTAAAGCGCTGGTCCTGAGGCTCCAGCCGCCAGACTGGCCCCTCCAGGTCAGAATGGGGACTCTGCCTGTCTACTGTAGCCCCCCCCCCTCTCTCCCCAACTTAGATCCAGAGACTTTGGTGAGGTGAACTGTAAGGTGACAAATTTGGTGTGTTGTCAAGTAAAGCTTTATGTTTTACATCTGATTAACAAGAAAATCAAATGGTTGCGAAGGGGCACACACACACACACACCAATTGTTTTAAAAATTACTTAATTAATAAGCACAATGTCCGCTACAATTAAGTAATTCCAATGATCGGGAGGATGGGGTTGTGATAGGGATGGGGAGGGCCATCATCTAAACACACAGTTCCTTTCAAGAAGGAAATGTGTGTTTAGGTGATAGCTACACCCAAAACACATCAGAACAGGTCCGTTTAAACTCTAATGAAAATCTAAAATAAGACACTTAACCAGCTAGGTACACTCCTAGTGTACTTCAGTGCACTACATTGAAACTTCTACTAGTTTTACCTTAATTTTACCACAACTTTATTTCATACAAATGTTCTCAAGATGTTAATGTGTGTATCAATACAATAAAAGTGCATAGTTAACACTCACTCATAAACTCTTGAACTCTATTATTCTGCGGTTCAGAGTCAGCAATGGATTTTCGCAGGCGATTAAGGTCATCCTTCAATTTAGCATTTTCCATCTCCAGTTCCTGAAGCTGTGAGAAGTGCAGAAAATAATTATAGTAAATAAAATTGTAATCACAGGTAACACCAACACTTACAAAAACAGCAATGAGATTGAAATACAATTTATGCTGCAAATATACAAAAGGCGGCTGCTTGATACAAGAGCTACACAAGTTTTGTGTCGGTTTTAGTACATTGCAAGGAGTACCATTAGGCCAGAGGTTCTCAAACTGGGGTATGAATACCCCAAGTGCTTTATAAAGTGCATGCGTGTTCCAAGGTTTGCTCTAGTGATGAGAGCAAACTTAGAATACAGGTATATACATCTTAGTGTAACCTTGCAACTTATAAACACCAGAGAAAGCACCAGAGGTACACACACCTCAGCTTGAGAACTCCTACATTAGAGCATTCATTTATCCAAGACTGCATATACATTCCTTCATAAACATACCATACTAAAAATCACTTTCATTACCTTCAGAATTTAATACGGTTGTCTGGTAGTTTTTTATAAACAAATATTTTGAGCTGAGAGCTTGTTATCAGTTCTGTGGACCTATCAGTGTAAAGTATTGGGTGTTATAAAAGTATTTATTGTATTTAGAGTAATACATTTACAAGTAAATGCCAAATTTACTGTATACTATATGCAAATGCATATTCAAATAATTAAATAGGCCACCTACATATAAAGACACAAGGTTGGTTGCCGAGTGACTGCCCCTTATGGAGCTTAACAATACTATACATTCTAAACAAAAGGAGAGAATAAAACACAAGTGCTTTCTGTATTTGTTGAAATTTAAGAATGGTTGATGCAATTAATTTTCAGAAAAAAAAGTAATGATCATGAATTACCTAGCGGCACAAGCAACGAGTGGTGGTGGGTTAAGGGTAAAGGCAGTCATCAAGCAGGTGTTGCCGAAGAGTGAGCATACGTTTGTGGAAAAATAAAAGTAAAATGACAACTTGTACAAATTATCTCATTTGTAATGCTTCACTACAGAGCTATTGTATCTGAAAGAAGAGTGGCAAGGGGAAAAGACTGTTACATACTGTAACTGCTCCATTCACAATTAAACAAGAGTGAAAAATGAATACACACAGAAATCACAATAGCGTGATGCATCAAATGAACAAATCCACAAGGGCCGTGATGAGGGTTCGAACCTATGCCCGGGATGATCCCAGACGCTCCCAAGCCTAGTCGACTAAGGCAGTGTCTGGGATCATCCCGGGCGTAAGTTCGAACCCTCATCACAGCCCCTGTGGATTTATTAATTGAAAAATTAATATTACTATAAGCCTTATTCTCTAAACTACTGGCATTCACTACTGCACTAAGCATACCCGAATGAGCTCCTGTGCGTGCTGTGGGTCATCCAGGGGAGATGACGATTCCAACTGATCTATCTGTTTGGCCAGACTCCTCCGTTCCTTTTCTAATTCACGCACTTTGTTTTGTAGTTGAAGTACTAAGGTGATGTCCTCCACCTATTACCATCCCAGATGAGTGTACCATCAGAGAGAGGATTCACCAAGCAGCAAGGAGTAGGGTGAGTTATATCAAATAGTTAGTGAGAGTAAGTACAGTACATGCTTAAGACAACCCACATCCTTAAGTGAAATATCATACCAAGTTGCAACAATATTAGGTGCTTATCCCTCTGGTTTCTAAACTTCTCTATTGTATCAATTGTATTATAAATACAAAGGAGGCTATCACAAATGTATTATTGTTATGCATCACCTTTTTCAGTAAAATCATGTACAAGTTTGTTAAAAATAAAAAGATGTTAGCAAGAATGGAACCGAAGAGATACACTGAAACTAGTAAAGGTAAATACAGTACTTAAAAAATAGAGGAAAACAGGAAATAGTTAATACCTATTGCCATGAAGTCCATGAAAAGGTGATCAGAAATCAAATGAAAAGCAAGATATAGGACAAATTTAGCATATTACATCAATCCTCACAGTGTGAAGGCAATATATGACATGTTACTCAAGGATGCAAAGATTTGTAATTTTTGTTAAACTACTGACTTCCCTAAACATAAAGTAACCAAAAAGAGAACTTAACTATTTTATACTTATAAATTAATCAAGCAAAACACATACATGTACACAATAACCCGACATCCAATAAACCCTTAACAAGAACAATATGGCTTAAATAGTAATTTAGTATATTGCAGGAAAGAGCAAAATATCATAAACTCATTTCGATACTTTAACCATAAATTAAACTACTTCAAATGCAATTTGTCATTGACAAAGTTTTACCTGGACACAGATTCAAGCTAGAAAAAGAGTCGGAAACAGAAGTGCCGAAAAATTATTAAAAAATTTTCTTTTGCAAACAGAGTGGTAGATGGTTACTAAGTAAGAAGGTGGTGTAGCCCAAAACCGTCAGTACTGTAGTTTCAAAGTGTTATATGACAGTGTTGGGAAGACGGGACACCACGAGCGTAGCTCTCATCCTGTAACTACACTTAGGTAATTACATATTAAGAAAATCACCAAAAGTCATGAGGAAGATTCAAACCTATGCTCTGGGTACTCCCAAGCAAATGCCTTAGGGCTTAGACAACTACACCACAGCATGGTAAAACCATTGCAACCTGGGATTCAACTGAATCCTCTAGAATTCCTGAGGCTTACATTGGAGCCTAACCAGGGTTTCACACATTGCCCTTGTGCACCTTGGCTTGTAGCCTAGGAATTCCTCCTATGCTTCTCTTTAAATGCACAATCACATTACCATGATGTATCAATGAGAAAATCAGTTGTTCAAAGTGTTACAAAGGATGGGAAAGTGGTATGAAGGATGGGAGAGTTATGGTGGGTGGGAGAGATCTATGGAGAGTTACCGAGGGATGGAAGAAGGGAAGGAATTATGGAGGGAGGGAGAAAAGTTATGGAGGAAGGAAAAGTAACGGAGGGATGGAAGTTGTTTTTGATGGTCGGAAGGATTTACGGAGGAAGGAAGCAGAGTTATGTGTGGGAAGAGAATATGGAAGTGGTGAAGAAAACAGAAACTGCAGCAGACTCAACATCAACTTATCAACAAAGATTATGGTAATACTGTTGATAATTTCTGTGTCCCTCACAATGGGAAGATTTAGGTAGAAGCCTGAGATTACACATCAACTTCTTCATTATCAAACCTTCCTTACCTTCTCAGGTACGTGAATCTTGATTTCAGTACTATTGACTTTATGAGATGGAGAACTCCAGTCAATATTGTCCAAGTTTCTACTCGAGTCCGATATTTCACTGGCACGACTTCTCACAGAACCGTATCCAACATCCTAAAGAAGACACAGTATACAACATTAATCATTGATAATTAAACTGAGAGCACTAAATACAGTTCTATACTTAACATAATTCTTATTCTAGGACAGTACTAAGAGCAACGTCTCTCCATGCCAGGTCTAGGCCACAACATACCCCTTTTTTTTTGTTTTTTTACCTCTTATAGGCTCCTCAAAACATACTGAGAGCACTATTTTTATAACTAAAAGGATCACAGTTGGTGAGAATAACATATGAAATCAAATGAGGAGCATTGCAGTGAGGGAAAGATCAGACAAACAAGTTGCAGTCATTAGGAAACTTTTTATACAAGACAAAATTAAAAAGTATATTATAAAGATATGCATATCTAATTCTTAAACTCATAATGGCAATGAGTCAAGCTCAATAAATTGGTGTATACAGTGTTGTGCTTTACAAAACACCTTTCTAAATGATTACTGTACTTGATTAACGAGTAAATTTTTAGTGAGCAACATTAAAAAAGACTTTCTAGAACAAATTCTATTCTAGATTGTGTATCTGTGTGATGCAAACAGAAGAGCATTTACTGTACAAATTATCAAGTAAAAAAAAGGGGGGACACGAGCAGCAAAATAGTTTGTCACACAGCACAAGATGGAATGAGCCCGGTTCATTCACAAGGATGAATAGCAAACTACAAACAACAAATTTACAAGAAACTCTAGAAATAAAAACCACTGCAGAAATAACGTAATAAAAAGGTAAGAAGGCAATATACAAGACTGGATAACTTATTGAGAGATAAGAGAACATTTGCTGTGCAAGTAAAGTGTTATTATACTCGCATGAAATTTATGGAGGAACATAGTGGAGTGAGAGACATACTGACAATAGTGTGAGACGGTGTGTGTAATGAACCAACATTGTGAGACGGTGTGTGTAATGAACCAACATTGTGAGACGGTGTGTGTAATGAACATTGTGGGACGGTGTGTGTAATGAACCAACATTGTGGGACGGTGTGTGTATTGAACCAACATTGTGGAACGGTGTGTGTGTAATGAACCAACATTGTGGGACGGTGTGTGTAATGAACCAACATTGTGGGACGGTGTGTGTAATGAACCAACATTGTGGGATGGTGTGTGTAATGAACCAACATTGTGGGATGGTGTGTGTAATGAATCAACATTATGTTACTACTGTATATGTGTAATAAACCAGTATTAAAGTATTGTATTTGTGAAATGAACCAATATTGTGGTACTGTGCATAATGAACCAGTATTGTGGTACAGTACTGTGCAGAATGAACCAGTATTGTGGTACTGTGCATAATGAACCAGTATTGTGGTACTGTGCAGGATGAACCAGTATTGTGGTACAGTACTGTGCAGAATGAACCAGTATTGTGGTACTGTGCAGGATGAACCAGTATTGTGGTACAGTACTGTGCAGAATGAACCAGTATTGTGGTACTGTGCATAATGAACCAGTATTGTGGTACTGTATGTGTAGTGAATCAATATTGTGGAATATGCATCCGAGCAAGACCACTCAATTATGTAATTACTGAACTAGAAATTTGTCTTATAAATATACAGTATCTTCCCAATGGGTAACTGCCTTCCAATTTACCCACATTTTTTGAATGCTAGACAAAATAATTTTAGCGTTGTATCTTTTCACTAATCAAGACAAACTGTATTCTGGTTTCCCCCATTTCCATCAAAATTTTAATTTAGGCCAATTATAATTTTTCTTTACCACAAACTCCCCTATCTCTTACACGTATTATTTAAATCATCTGAAAAATCTTTTCTCCTTGAATGAACTTGCATATCGTACAATATATTGCATCTCTAATCTCGTTATACAGTATTTAGCCGTATTAGGCATTACCGGTAACAAACAGTTCAATAAGTTAAGCAAAGAATTAAAATTAATAATAATAATAATAATAATAATAATAATAATAATAATAATAATAATAATAATCCTATCAGTACTGATGGAGGAAGTTACATAGGGTATAGAACAATGCAAGGATATGCAACTTACCTATGCACAAGTGACTAGGAAGAAGGAAATAATAGAAGAAGCAGTAAAGGAAGCCAAAAACTGTCGCAGTCAGAAAAGCACAGACATTAGACTGGAAGTCAGAAAGGAATTGGCATTAAACCCAAAACTGGTGCAACACACAGTTGATTGAAGTCCCTAATAATTTTGGGTTGCAAAGAAAAGGAAGTAACAGCTAGGTCAGACAACCACAGAAGCAGCAATAGCAGTAGATAACATTGACCTAACTTACATAAATGACCTACCAGAAGGAATACAGAATAAGATGAACATGTTTACTGATGATGCCAAGATACTAGGGAAGATAAGAAACTTAGATGATTGTCATGCCCTTCAAGACGACCTGGACAAAATAAGTATATGGAGCACCACTTGGCAAATGGAATTGTGAATAAATGGCATGTTTTGGAATGTGAACTAGGAGAAAAAAGACCACACAACCTACAAATTATGAGAAAACAGGTTTAAAATATTCAGATAAAGAAGGAGATCTACAGTTGGTTCTAGAGAGAAAACTGTCATTTGAGAACCACATAAAGAACGTCATGCGAGGAGCCGATGCTATGCTTTTCGATTTCAGAATTGCTTTTAAATACATGAATGGTGAAATACGTAAGAAATAGTTCACGACCTTTGTGAGAGCAAAGTTGGAATATGCAGCAGTTGTATGGTGCCCATATCTCAAGAAGCACATCAATAAACTGGAAAAGGTGCAAGGACACGTGACTTCTTGAACTGAAAGACAAGAGCTAGAGGCATTAAAAATATGCCAAAGCTAGAAGATAGAAGAAAAAATGATATGATCACTATGTACAAAATAGTAATGGGAATCCACAAAATTGATAAGGAAGAATTCTAGAGACCTGAAACTTCAAGAACAAGGTGTCATAAATTTAAGCTAACTAAACAAAGCTGCAGTAGTAGTAGTATAAAAAAAAATTCACTTTCGCAAACAGTGGTAGACGGTTGGAACAAGTTAAACGAGAAGGTGATGGAGGTCAAACTGTCAGTACGTGGTTTCAAAGAGTTGTGACAGTGTTGAGAAGGCAGGACACCACGAGCGTATTTATCATCCTATAACTACACTCGGGTAAATACAGTACACTATGATCATTGTTATTATTACTGCGAACCCCACTTTCATGGGGTAGGGACTTGTATCATCTAATCCTACAGAGAATCTTTTAAACTATATATATTGATATCCGTCTTATCATTTATCAATAAAATTCTGATGAGTACTGTATTTAGAAAGAAGGGAAATGGAAATCTTACCACCAGCATGTGGCAAGATTTCCATCAGATATCAAGGGACCTTGCACATCTCCATATACCTTCCTGCCAGGCACAAATGGTCTTACCCAAAAAATACTTTAGCTATATAATATGTGGTACAGCCTTATTTGCTTAACCAATATAGTGCAACTTTAAAATTTAAATATTACACCATTATTATTATTATTATTATTATTATTATTATTCTAAGATACTGTGAGAGAAAGATTTGAAAAAATATATTAACTTACAGACATCCAATCCTGTGTGAGCATCAGAAGCAAACAAAAAACCATAACAAAATATAATGAGGATTTTTGGGCAAAATGCAAATGCAGATCCTTTAATATAAGGCAAAATTAATAATAAAATTCTTGACATTAAAATTTAAAATGTTAAAAAATACTTTAACTGATCAACAATGTACCAGTACATGCACAATAGATGAAAACACATGCTAGTGCAAATGACAATTCTATTTAAATATTTCTGGTTATTAACCGAGTGCACTATGCCATTCCAACCTGTCCTCTTAAAAAGAACGTCGCTTTTGGCCGTTTGCCCGTATGGCTGAATTTGGACGTAATTTGAAAATGAAAAAAACGAAAATAAATTTGGGATTTTTTTTTTCAACAACAGTAAGTTATGGGTCATCTGATAGGTTAGGTGGGCAGGAAATTCTCAAAGTTTCAAAACGTTATGAAAAACGTTAATTTAAAGTGTTCTCTCATAACCTCTGCGCATACGCTGGACGACTCAAATAGAAAACAGAACAGAACGTCACTTTTGTGAGTCAATTTCATTTCAAATTACATCCAAATTTGGCCACAGTGCGCATATGGGCCAAAAGTGACGTTATTTTTAAGAGGACGGGTTGGCCATTCAACCAACAAAACAACTTAAAATATTTCAATAATATTTCCAGATGTACAGTATTAGTTTAAGGTAACGAGGGCCTAGTACAATGGTCCAATTATTATCCAGTGAGGTAACAAGGGACCGGCCTAAACAACACCTACAGTCACTATCATCAATTGGGCACACAAAGTCAGAACCTTTAAAAAATAGGGGTACGAGCCTAAGGAATCAACCACTGCTATTATTATTGAACTTGGATAATCTGCAAACATTAGTCGCAACATAAATATAAGACCTAGCCTTTCCTAGCAATCCTAGACCTATTACATGCTACCTTAGGCCTAATAGAGTAAAAATATATATATGCTATACTAGGCCAAGGAATATTTAAATTTGGATTTTAGCTTTACTTTTTCTGAACTCTAAAAATTAATAGTTCAAAAAGTGGTTTAGTAAAGGTACATCACTACATGTTGGCCCTTTCCTCCACAGTTACTATAAGGACTTTCATTATACAAGGATGGGCTCATCTAAAACACCAACCATAACAAAACACTAATGCAACTAACACGCTTCTTTATAAATTGAAGTTTGAAAAATAAATGGAACTGATTACTGCATTGCCTAATTAGAAAACATATAGAGAAGCAGCTGTGCACATGTCAAGTCAAATGATAACGGCCAAGAACCCATGAGCAAAATGACGCCCTTCTACACCAAGATATAAAGACGCATGTCAATGCATTTTAGAGAGTAAACGCCTTATTAAACGCAGCCAGTTATTTTAGATAGTCTTTTGTCAAAACAATGATCTGAGGAATGTTTAAAATATATGGAGCTATTCAATTATTTTCACATACAACAAGATATAGCATGACTACTCACATCATCTCCAATGATGGAACTGAATTCAGATGCATCATCACGGACGAGCTCGGTGGGAGCATCACTAGCACCACTGATGTTACTCACATTGCTTGCTGTTCTCTGTCATAAACAAAAAGAACACAACAATGTTTGGAATACTTCCCCACACACACTTGGCTCTTAAATTTGCTAATGTAACTAATGAGTGTAAATATTATTATATTTAACAATTACATAGATATGATTCTGATTACCGGAATTTTTATGGTAGTTTACATCAGATAATAGAGCAATAATATGCTTCAAATAATGCCTAATCTATCTGCAAAATAACATACTGCACCTTATATACTTATTAATGCAAGTACAGTATAAGATCACAAACTGTCTAATGCCTTTTTATAAGTAATCATCTCCAAATATAGTGATGATCAATCCAATAATTGCCTTCAGTGTAGCCCAAGTAAAGAATCATGTAAGGGGAAAGTAACATTGTTACTTTCTTCCTGGTGGATCTTCCCTAAGCAAATTACTAGAACAAAAACACAGTCCCACCATTAAATTGTTTACCTTATGAGCATTGCCACCTTTCAACTTTGCTAGCTGCTCTTCTAAAACATCATTCTTCTGTTCCAGGCGATTAAATTCCTTCAATAATCTTTGGTATGCTGACTTCTCGTCTGTATTCTCCATGATTATCTGTTCTTTCTCCGCTTCAAATTTACGTCGAAGCACCTCTGAAAGAAAATAATTACCAAAAATTACCTTCAACTGTATTTAGAAAATTGTTGAAGCATTACACTTGGTCCAGTTTGCATTTGACCTGCAAATATTTTGAAAAGTTTTCTTGGTCATTCCAGCACAAGTGGCTACCCCACCACCTGTGGGTGCCCCACCACCTGTGGCTACCCCACCACCTGTGCCTGCCAATCCCAATCAGCAAGCACTTTCAAGTCTTTGAAACACATGTAGCTTAATGTTATCTGGCGTCTCAGGACCATCTCTACCTACGATGAGTCTGTGATGAAGTCTGGCCTGACATCCTACCACCACTCTCTCTCTCGATCTTCACCATTTAGAATTCAGAAAGTCAAAAATTTCAACCAAACTGTTCAGCAATATATATTTGCTTTTAATATCTGTAATATTCTTTTGCTATATTATTCTCCTTTGTATGCAGTGTTGATGCCCCTGCACCTCATGAAAGTAAGGAACAAGACATCAAAATGTACAAAGTGTGAACATCTGAAATTCTCAATAATCAAATTAAAAGAATGAAAAGATACTGTACCATCAACAAAAAAGACTGAAAAGATACTGTACCATCAAAGTAAAAGACTGAAAAGATACTGTACCATCAAAGTAAAAGACTGAAAAGATACTGTACCATCAAAGTCAAACACTGAAAAAAGCTAACCTTAGGTATCTCATAACTAGTAATACTGTACTTTATATGATTAACCCTTGCACTGCTCACCTATTTTCGGCAAAAACGTCTTGGTGCAATTGACAAGGACATATTTTTGTTATTTTTACAAATGTTCAGGTAAATTTAATGTCAAAATGTTTCCAATGTCAACTATTTCCATTTCAAAACACAAATAGTAATGAAAACATTAAAAAACATTAAAATATAGCCAAACTAAAAAACAAAAAGCACAACTCTCTGAGCGCCTAAAGGCGCTTTGCGCAGTGCAGTGGTTAAGAATTACCTTCCGATTCTCGTTGGGTTTCTTCTTTTTGGGCTTTCGTAAGTTCTTCTGTTAGCCGAGCATTTTCTGCATTGAGTTTTTCTAATAGTTCACGATTATCTTTCTCTGCTCGCTCCTTTTCATTCAAGACATCCATCTTCTCGCCTCGCTCCAGCTACAACATAGGAGGTAGTATAAATACTCAAATTCCTTGTTAATATAGTGATTAAACTGAACTGTGTATTTAAACATATATAAACATGTTAAATATTTATTAACATTAAATGTTAAATATCTACAGAAACTCTGTAGATATTTAACTTATTCTTCTCACCTCAACTTCCTGTGTAAGAGCGGAAACTTTAGCCTCAAGCTCGGCAATACGATTATTGCTGCTCTTGAGGTTCACTTCCATAGCCTTCATCTCTATCATGTGTCCCTTCAGAACGGATATCTCTTCTTTGTAACCTTTGATGTGGCTGTTCTCAGTTTTCTGAGTAATAAAAACAAAGCACAATTATGGTTTCAGTGTCAAAATTAACACACAAATTTTGCCGGAAACTGTCATGACAAAATTAAAGTTGTTAACCAGTCTAAGAACACACACTACACTACCAATATAATACACTACCTGTATATGACAAATAATTAAAAAAATGTAATTTTATTATATTTAAAAAATATTATGAATATGAATAAGATGAATTTAAATCTTTATTAAATTTCTGCACTGGATTGTAGTTTACAAGTGTGACTAAAGAAAAGTAAAGAATAATGATGTAATGATACAAAAATATGCTGTAATTGTTTGCCAAAACAAAACAAAAATCTCAATCGATCAAGTCAAAAACATACCAGCTCCGTAAGCTTTTGTTGAAGTGATATGATCTTGTTTTCTAATCCCTTGTTGAGTTTCTTCTGGTGCTCCACAGACTTGGCTTCAATCTTAAGCTTCTTCAGCTTCCTTCTAGCCAGGAAACATCGCACAAGACCTTGTGTAATAATGATTCCGTGCATGGCCTTCACGAAGTGACGCCTTGTCATCCACGCTCGCACATACTTCTGGATGACGATGGCCTGCAAGACAATTACAACATAAATAAAAATAATAAATAAATAAATGTTTATTCAGGTAAGGTACATACATACAAGAGATTTTTACAAAAATTGCTAGGTTTAGAGATAGAGCTGGTACATACAATGCCTAAAGCCACTATTACGCAAAGCGTTTCGGGCAGGAAAAGCATTAAAGACTAAAACTTAATACTAATTGAGTTTAAAGTATAAGTAAATATATTAAAACATAGGTTTTAATAACTCTAGAGTTGCCAAATGCATAGGCTTTGTTGAAAGTTTTACCATTGTATCAAGAAAAATAAAATAATGCACTGCAATAAAGATGCTGTGTATTGTCCTCAATTTAAAAACTTAGGGATATTAATAATGACAAAACTCAAGTAGCTAATGAACATTTACACGAGAACAAGTTTCCCAATAATGTTCACAACTAATGACTTTGTTAACACTTTCGCCCGGGCATGACGCAGCATTGCATCATCCGTTTACTGTCGGTAATACCGGGGATGACGCAGCATTGCGTCATCCACTTTAAATAATCGCCAAAAATCAAGTTTTTATCCGATTTTTTGGGGACTGGTTTTAAAATGCGCGCCGATGTCTTCTCATTTTCTATGTTGAGCCTCGTGGCCCTCAGGCGGCTTGGCACACACCGTGGGCCCATTGTTTTCGCTCCACTGTTGTAACCAATGTTGCCTCCCCTCGCATCTCAAACGTGTGTACATTTCGGCTATTTTCCGTGGCTATATTTCTTACTGCGGCTTTAGAAACTATCTACGCTTACTCCACGATGGATAGTGATCATGAACAAGGCCCTTCCAGGAAGAAAATTGCAAAAGAAAGGCTTGAAAAGGGCGGGAATTGGCAGTGTAGGTGGAAGGCGTCTGAGCGCTCACTTGCGGCTAACGCGTGGCCCGTCTTCAACTCGTCGGCGGTTGGAGCGTGACCAGGTTTTTTATTTTATATGCTAATGTTCCTCTAGAGAATTCAATTGCGAACCCATTGAGACCAAAATGAAAGACCTAGGACGAAAATTGAGGTGACCAGAGTGAAAATAGTGAAAACATTTTATCGCGTTTGTGCGCTCCTGGGTAACTCGTTCGCACTTTCTCTGTTTGCTGCGGGTAATTAGCCCGGCTTTTGGAGTTTATATGCATTTAGTGCTGTAGAGAATTCTATTGCGAACACAATGATACAAAATTTAATCTCGTAGGACGAGAATTAAGGTGACAAAGTTGAAGAGAGTATACACTTTTCAGAATTTACGCGCGCTCCCGTGACACCCTGGGTCCCATGTCGCACAGTTGAGGGGTGGCGCGCGGGGTACGCCAAAGTGTTAAATGCTTAGTTTCATTGAGGAGAAACTGAACAATTTAATCATTAAGGTGGCAACTTCAATGTCCTGGTTGTAATAATAATACTAAAGTTCGGGTTCAGTGAGCCTTATGGGCTTTCCGCGACATATGAAGAACTACAGGATACAGCTGTATGTGTCTTACTCTCATCAAAGATGACATGACTACTTCCTGATGGCCTAAGAATTTGCTCACCTGAGATAATTCTAGTATGTATTAGTTAATGTTTTGGCACAGTATCATGAATCTCGCACTTCTTTCATTACTGTATTTGTTGTCCTTTCTTATGCATTTAACTACTGCAATTGCATCCACATTAACATAATTAATAATAATAATTAACAAGAAGTAATAAGAAGTAATCATCATCTTCAAATCCATGATATATCAGCGTTCCTGTACTTTTATGTAAATATGGCAGACATCAGTGGAACCTCAGATAACACATTCTTGTTGGTCAAACTTGAGTCAAGCAGCTTGGTTCTCTGATATATTATAGCATAGTCACTTACATGATAGTCAAAGGCTAATTAACAATTTCTCACCATATTCAATAGTCCAACTTATGATAAAATGAATTCAATATATCTGTACTCAAAGAATTAAATGTAATCAAAGTAATAAAACAGATAACAAAATATATTTGGTGATATGCATAACAGGAAGAATATCATGTACTTTAATGCTTACCGCTTTAACTCTTCGCATGTGCTCATATCTTTGCCGAGCAAATGCACCACGAGCATGAGCCTGCAACCGAGTGATAGTGTAAACAAGACGACGGTACTGCACCCACTTAACCCAACCACGCACGCATGCCTGAATTTTGATAGCAGCTGCAGTTTGTCGCATGTGATGAACACGTCTGAAATGTTTGTTTAACAGATGTATCAAAGGTAAACAATAAACTAGAACTGACCAAGAAAATAATCACTTAATAGCTAATGCAACATGAATGAACATTTTCAAGGACATTACTAAATACTGTATATCTATTTTATGTACAAATTCTTTATGAAGTCACTGTTCTTAATTACTTATTGAAATTAACTCAAAGACTGGAATGAATGTTTCCATTTAACTCACCTGCGAGCTGCTGTGCCTCTGGAGTACCTTTGTATGGTTATTGCAGCCTTTCGCATTGTTCTGAAGCGGTTTCGATGTATGAACATTCTTACATGTTTCTGAATCATGACGCCGCAAGCAGATAAGCGGTCTGCCCGAAGTTTCTCCATATAGGCCACCTGGCCTGCTCTGAAGAAAATCTTAGTCCGACCAAACTTGAATTTGTCTTGATCCTGCAAGAGTAGATACGATAAAATAAATCTTGTGTCGTTCTCGTATAGTCCAACCCAAATACATCATTCAATTAAAGTTCATTAAACTCTTCCATATTTCTCTCAAATAGATCCCTTCATTCATCTAAAACTTGTAGAGCAGAAAAGTAAAATTATGGATTTTTTCAATACATAATTATGTACTGTACCAGACACTGAAAATTCTACAACATGTTTTACCCAAAGAACCTTTTGTAGAGGTTCCGATATTCCTGAGACTACCCCAAAATGACTAAGAATGACTACCCAAAACACTAAGAAAGCTGATCAACAAAATATAAATAAATAATACTCACACTGATCATGTTACCAATGATCTTTTCGCAGGTCACACGCATGTCATTCCTTTGAATGTCTTTGGAATTGCACAGTACTCGGTATCGGCAGAAGAATTCATGATACGTCCATCTGTGACACACAAATGGAAAATAATGAAAGCTTTGTAAAGAAGCTATTCTGCTTATTGGCAAATTATTTTTTCTCCAAATGTTACGTTGAAGAAAATTTCCACTCATTACTTTTAAATTATTTTGTATGCAATTCTTAGCACAAAATCTCATACTGCTATGCTGACCACCTTCATATGTAAGCTGCTGCTGCCTTGTCAAAACCTATTATAACAGAAACCCAATATACTGTCTAACATCCACTAAACTATGCAGATTTGGTCACACATGACACCTAAAGGCATTGAAGTTAAAATTATCTTGTTTTCCCACTCTCACGGTGTGGGGGGAAGAATCAGCCCAGGTAAACAAACACTTGTTCAGTCACATTACTGTACACATTGTACAATATATAGCAGTCCAGCCAATTAGCCACACCAATAACCAACTGTTTCACAACAGCAGGTGTACAGTGTACATTATGTTAAATGTTAACAGGGCAGGTGTACAGTGTACATTATGACCAGTCTGGTAATTCCCGCCACCAGGGACAGGAAACCTAAACTTAGGCTTACTGAGGACCCCTTATGCCAACTACTAACCTTCCCCAGGATGCTGTCTACAATAGTTGTCTGACTCCCAGAACCTATTTTATTGACAGGTGAACAAAGGCATCAGGGTAAAGGAAGTGTGCCCAACTGTTTCTGTCTTGTCTGGGAATAGAAGCTTGGTAATCTATATGTGTTGCCAAGTGTGACTGGAAAAGCTTTTAAGCTCATGTAAAACATTTAATTATCTATATTGTGGGATAGATTGATTATTCTCCAGTGTTGCCCTAGAATCAGAATGACCTAACTAACAATTTGTAAACTTCCCCTTTATGTAAGCATGGAATGTTGACCTGCTTCATCCACGGCAGATCCTAACCAAAAGTTACAGTATTTCTCCTTAAAGAGCAACTAAGTGTGATAGTTCAGGAATAAGATTTTACTGAAACTTACAATGAAGCATAAAAGTAATGACTGGGTCTAAATTTTTATCCCACACAAAAATAATAGGCATAACATTTGAATAAGATATGCAGGCGATGAGTCACAATAACGTGGCTGAAGTATGTTGACCAGACCACACACTAGAAGTTGAAGGGACAACGATGTTTCGGTCCGTCTTGGACCATTCTCAAGTTGATTGTCTTGACTTGAGAATTGTGATTCTCACAATCGACTTGAGAATGGTCCAGGACGGACCGAAACGTCGTCGTCCCTTCAACTTCTAGTGTGTGGTCTTGTCAACAATAAGATATGAACTTTGTGCTGAATGAACCTTAAAATAAATGACTAAACATCTTATAATTTCTCACCTAGAGGGATAACCTGCAGCACTAATTCTAACTGTCTCCAACACACCGCAGGCCCTCAACTGTTGAATGGCTCGGGTAGGATCGAAGGTAAAGGCCATCTTATCATCGTTAGGTTTAATGCACCTCACATAGTGAGGCGTCGTAGAGTTTAATGTCAACATCAACAAATTCAGTGATTCGCGAAACTGAGAGCCAACCTGAAAATAAAATTAACATATGAAGTCCAGCATTAGTTAACCTAATAGGTCTTGTCCCTCCTTGCCTTGACATGCTTTGTCCTCATCATCATCAGAGCTAAAGTTTCATAATAAAAAACACAGGATAGTAATAATACATTTCTCCATGTATAATCTCAACTCACATGCATATGCCAAGTTGTAAAAGTGACAACGAAAATGATGGTTACTTAATACTTACAGATTTTTTCATTTGTTTCGATTTAGAATGTACTGGTCCAATAGGCAAGACCTTCACTTTGGTAGGGGCTTTTTTGTCCTTCTCCATAAAAAGGGCATGTACTAAATTAATCTGCAAAGCCACATGTCAGTAAGGTCATTGAAATGGAAGACTCAGGTAAGTCAAATTTATATTAATATCCAACACAACAGTAACCAGATTCATCAAAACTAGATTATATAATCGAGGTTCGACTGTATTGCGTATCACTTACTACTTAGTACTAATACAGTACTTAGTACTTACTAGCTGATATAGGACAAATATTAACAATGAAATTATTGTAAAAGCTTCATACCAATGTTACTTTAATGAAGAACCATTTCCTTAAAATTACCAAACACAATTGACTTTAAGGGCAGAAGCTACTTTGAAAGAGCTTACACTAATTTGTCATATAAGTATTACAACCTCAACACTTCAGTTGGCATGTTTCCTTTACTTGTATATAAGGTTTTCAATTACACTATAAAAAAAATAAACATTTATAACATGAAGGGTTCAATTGGATTAAAAATAACATTTCAGCAAAATTGAATAAATTATGAACGAGATGTTATTCGACACCGAGTCATTTGAAGCACTTTTCAAGAAGCAAACTTATTATGGAAATGCATTCAATTACATGGAAAGAAAATAGGATGCTGAACTTATAAGATAAAGCATCAGCAACAGAAACACTAACATCTTCCTTCAACAATATCTAGCACTGGTAGTGACCCACATGGTCTACACTGTGCAGTTCAGGGCAATATACAACAGAATGTATATGTACTCTCAGGGAAATATAGAGAAGGGTGATAAGGCTGACACCTAGTATCAGTGGGGGGTCCTTTTCTGTGAATACAAATTGAAGAGTCTGTGTCTGCATGCATTGTAGAGACGTAGGATGAGTGAGGATATGGTTGATGTTTTCATTGGGTTAGGGGCATAAACAAGGGGAATATAAACAGGGTTTCTATACTTTTGGAAAAGGTTGGCAACTGCACCTAAGGAAAGAAACTGGATATATTTTGTTTTAAAAATGAGAGTAAAGTATTGGTTTGGGAATGAGGTTGAGGACTGGAATGGGCTGCAGATAACATTAGAGACAAATAATTTAACACGCCTCAAAAATAGATTGAATAGGTACATAGGTCCATTTAATCAGACCTGTCTAGTATTGGCCAACAGGCCTGCTGTGGTGTTCCATAATTCTTATGTTCTTGAAACTCAGAAAAGGCCACACATGTTAAATAAAGTCTAATCATAAAAATGTTGTTTGTGTTTGAAGATCTAAAACATTCATGATACTGAGAGAGCACACAACAGAATTAAAGTCCAAAATATACATCATGACACTTACCTGACTAGATTTAAGTATATTTATCTGTTCCTCAGATACCGTGTCTCGGTTCTTCTCAAGGAAGCCAGCACTCTCGTAGCCAACCTTGTCAGCAAAATGTGCTATGAGGAAAGAAGTATTGGATAAGCGAGGTTTACTGAAGTGATCAAACTTCTTGCACTTGTCATACAACTTCTCTACCCATGAGTGGTCAGTACCCTTTGGCATCTAGAATCAAAGAATAACTTTAGTTAAAAATTAATCAATCATCTCAACTAACGTGAGCATAAACATTAATAATATATCTAATGCAATTTTTGTATAAAGTACAATCAAAATCACCAATTTTCACAATCTGATTCTTTTATACAATTTACTTTAAGAGCTTTGATTTCTTACCTTACACTCTTCATCAAGGAGGTCCAAGATTCCTAACTTGCTCTCTATGAGATCAATGCAAGGCTGGTTGTCATAGAAGTTGATGAACTCCCATTCAATCTGTTCCTTCACATACTCTTCTTGTTCTAATTTGAACACGTGCTGAAGAAATAGAAATCATAATTAATATTGGACACTTGGACTCTCATTGCAGGAGTTGCTTCCCAACCCAATACACACACTTTCCCTTTCTCTCCTCCACCGTAACTATATTTTTACCACATCACTTTCAAGCATTCCCTCATATGCATGAATAAAATGTTTAAATTAATCGACATAAATCTTAATCACACTGTAAAAAGAACTGTACCACATGCATACAGCCTGTCATATTTGATATACTGTTCTTCAATTAGTTTTATTAGTTCTATGCACTAGGTTTCTGCCTTACTCTAGCATTTTTACTATAATATCTTCCCCCGCCCCCTACCCCCACACTCCATCAGCCCATCCATGCATGTGAAGAGCCAAAGTGACACCACACAACCCTGCTCAGCTCCACTCACCAGATGCATTATTAACTCCTATACTGTACAAGTATTACTTCCTATATATAAACTTTTCACACCACCAACTCAACTCTGCCCTTGCAGTGTTTGGGGATGGAAGAAGGAGGAGGAGGAGGAGGGAGGTGTGAAGAGTGGGATGGGGGGGGACGAGTGGGGAAGGATAAGGTGGACAGTGGGACGAGGGACGACAGTGTTAGCTTCTAACAAGGTATCATCACCACCACTCACAGCTGTAGAGGGTAACAGGGCTGGTAATCACTCACCTGGTTAAACTGTTGCTGTAGCTTTTCATTCGCATAATTAATACAAAACTGCTCAAAGCTATTGATCTCAAATGTCTCAAAACCATAGATGTCAAGAACTCCAATAAATCTGGAAGACAAAAGGACTGCATTTAAATGTCCATTTTGGCTGTTATTTCAAAATAAAACTTTATGATTACAAGCAATGAAGTGTGAAATAAAGTATTACTTTAACTACCATGTACATAGATATTTTGACAACTCCCTGAATGAAAAACTGTTAAGTTATTTTCATTATTTTTTTGTTTAAAATAAGTCTACAACAAAATACATGCACAATATTTCTTAATATTTTTTTCCAATTCTTTTACTCAACTGTAGACACCTTCCATATCAACTACATTTTTCATACATCTTAAGGTAAGTATTTTGTTTAATATTTTGTATAAATTATAGCAGATCTTTTCCCTACCTAATCTGTATGTGGAACTTTATTCATAAATATTTACAGCATCTTCAAATTTGAAGATGCTGGGTTGTAAGGAAGACAGGATACTACGAGATTTACTTTTTATCCCACATCTACACTTGGGTAATTGCACACTTATGATATATTATCTATCCTGTTCCACATGAATTATGTGCAAACCTTAAGTAGTTTCACTAAATACTATTTCTTACTTAAGCTATTCAAGAACCAGCAATACAGTATACACACAGAGATCACACTAACGTGATGCATCAAATGAACAAATCCACAAGTACCGTGACGAGGATTTGAACCTGCGTCCGGGAGCATCCCAGACGCTGCCTTCATCGACTGAACTACAACTACTTCTGATGCAGAATCCTCGTCACGGCCCTTGTGGATTTGTTCATACAGTATACCTTCACTATAATTTAATTATCTGTTATCAGTACGTGTATCTGTAGATATAATTACCACAAAGAAGATGAAACAGCAATTCACACATTTCCCAATAAAGAACATAGATTTTAATTCTCTTTACAGATAAACTTCTCCAGATTTTCCTTGGATATTAAAAGAATAACTTGTATACATTATTATGAACAACTCATGAGAGGATCAAATACTTTGTTTTCTCTTTCTATGAATGTCTTACCTGAAAGGTTTTGCTGTAGAGGCAAAACACTTGTTGATCTGTGTTACAATCCACTCAAACAATTTTGCATAAATATGTTTTGCCAATGCATCTCTTGAAAATGTAGCCTGAAACATACAGGAATATTTAAGAATATTTTTGTTTACAGTTTTAATTATAAAAACATAGTAACTTAAAAAATCTGACATGAAAAAAGTCACAAACAAGTGTCAAAGCTTTCACAAAATAGTCACTAGAAATTCAGTACTGTACTACAAATACAGTCAGCTCATGAAATGTCCAGAGATTCATTCCTAAAACCTTCACACAGACCAAATTCACAAAGTTTAGTTAAGCTTATATTCGAAGTGTAGTGATGCATTCCAACTTCCGTAAGTCCACTTTTCTCCCGAGATCTTTTAATAAAGCACCAGTCTTAGCATTTTTACTAACTACTACTATCATTTCCCAACACTATGGCCAGAGGGTTGTATAATGGTTAAGGTGGTAATTGCAGCGACATCTGCACTGCAACTTTATTTAAAACCAAAAAAGTACAAATTTATTCATAATTTTGCTAAAGCAGTACTGTAAGACTTTGTCTAAGCAGTACTTAGACTTTAAACTGCATTTAGGCACTTACTTGTGTGTGGGTGTTGTCTGTGTGAGATACTGCCAGATATGTGGGTGTTGTCTGAGTTTGCAAATCTATTACCCAATAATTAATCAAAAATATTCATAATTAAACCTGTTTATATCTCTGATCCATGATTCATTCAGTTTTTCATGCATCATTATCCTTAATTACTGCATTTGACACAAATTCAAACAAGGCATACAACTACTTATAAAATTATAGTTTTTCCTTGCATCTTGCATTATATTTCTTAATTTTAAAATATCGTTTAAATTAACAACTGCCTACCGTAAATTTAAATTTTCTGGTGCATTTAAATGTCTATGCTTTTGAAAAATTACTAAAATTAAGCCTAGAGAACAATTTCTAGGGTATTCAACACCTTCCAAGAATTTAATTTCACTATCAACAAATGGCAATAATCTACAACCAACAAACCTCAGTATATGTCATGGGTTTTGTAAAAACTTCTCTGCCACCGACAATCTTACGATTACACAGCCACATGCGAATATCTTCTAATGGAATACCTAGTAGTTCCGCAGCTATATGGAGCGATTTATCACCGTTCTGCAATAGAAAAAATTATAGAGCAAATCAGCATACAACAAAGATATGTCTTATAATCACCCCATTATTGCACTGTTTATCATGTTTTATCTACCATGCAAAAATACAACAAATCTCACATCAATTGTAGAAGATTCACCAACATCCTCTTCAAAGGTTACGTTTCCTAGATGTAATATTCCTGCAAGAATTCTGAACAACTGTTCCTGCGTTGCTTCACTGATCCCCAAGAGGGAGAATGCTCGACATGTTTCCTGAAAGTCTGCAGCATCGTCCACACCACCAATATGAGGACTGTGGCCTTGGTTTAAGTAATGGAAATTGTCCTGATGCCCTGAAGAACATGCATATAATTATTACTTAACATGTAGTGGTGATAAATAGCAACTCATTTTCCCATACCAGCCCCTTGCTCTCCCAGACAATAAACCGTAGCAGCTTCCAATTACTCAAAACTTAAAAATTCTGTGAAAGAAAGCATAGACAAAAGATAAATTTTCCCAAAGACATGAATATAGCACATTATTATCATTATTATTATTATTATTAATTATTATTAATTATTATTATTATCATCATCATTATCATTGTGGGCTGTTGCACTTTATTTACAGCTGTGTGTGTGTAATTCATATTTAGAATAATATCAAAGAACAAACAAAAGTTTAAGTTAACAGGAAGCAGGAAGACTTGAAAATTTATCAGGCTTATCTTATAACTGATAAAAATTAGACCAAACCACCATGACACCAGTAGCCAGAAAATATAAGCAAAACCAAAAGCAAAGTGCATGGCTGATGTGCACACAAGCCCGTCACTGAGCTGCCCAGGAGGTAGTGTAGCCCTCCACCAAGCATTAACACCATCAGCAAAAAATGGAGCATTTCTGAGAATTCTGCTGCATAAAAAAGCATTTAAAATACAGTACAGTATATCCTTGTTAATGGCTCTAATACTAAAAACTAAATGTTTACAAAAATGTGAACATTTAGTTTTGTACAAGAATTTACATACACAGTAGAGCCTTAAAAATCTAGGCAATATCATTCCAGACCCTTTCAGATTTTTCAAAATATTTGGAAATGATCAATAAGTGATTAAAGTTGTGCAAGCATTTCTTTACCCTAAACAAAGAAATGCTAATGACTGATAATGGGTTGGTCTTCGGTGGGCATTTCAGTTGACTCCCCACCGCCTTCCTTTCCCCCAGGTATCTGACCAGACTGAACAGGTCCTTATGGCCTTGTGGGTAGAATGTACGAGTGTGTGGACCCACATAGGCTGCTAAAGCAAGGAAGAAATTGGAAGACCTTGGCTCAGAAAATAGTTATAGTTTTTAATATTATATAACAAAACCAGTGTTTATATAGTACTGTATACATGTTTATTTTTACACATATGTAAAAATACACACATATATATATTAAAAAGTTTTCTTTTGCAAACAGAGTGATAGATAGTTGGAACAAGTTAAGTGAGGTGGTTACAGAGGCCAAAACTGTCAGTAGTTTCAAAGCATTATATGACAGTGCCGGGAAGACGAAACACCACGAACGTAGCTCTCATCCTGTAACTACACTTGGGTCATTACACACACACACACACACACACACACACAAATATGTATTTTATCATTTGCTATTAGAAAACTCTCAAATGCGGTGATAAATAGCCAAATAGGAATCACAAAATTTGGATTCTTTTCTAACCCAGACCGGATCTAGAATGATATACTGTACTATATTTTGGATGTGCCACTGTAGTAAAAATAATAATGTTATGTAAAATGTAAATATTCATTTAATTGTTTACAGGGGTTAATGCAACATTTCTTGCAAGAAGCTTAACAAATAAATGTATTTTTATTAAGCACAAAACACTGATTATTCTCACAAGGTGTTGAGTTTTTCAGTTCTCATTTTTAATTTAGAAGCCAACAAATACAAAGCAAAACTTTCAGATCTATTTAACATTGCTAATATTGGAAAAGCTTATCAGTCATAAGTATGTGGCAATTATTATATATTTACAGCATGTATACTGAAGTATATCAACCCATCCTCCTGTTTTCACAGTACATTTTGTACTACGATATGTGGTTGATCGTACCAATATGTAGTAAGCCACGTCTTGTACTACTTTTTATTTATAAAGTCCAGAAAAAATAAAGCTAAAAACCAAACTTAGAAATTCCTAGGCCTAGTATAGCACATATGTACTATATTAGGCCTCAGATAGTGAATATCAGGCCTAGGATGGTAAGGTTTTATTAACATAAATATAAAACTTTTCTTTTTCAAATTCAATACTACAAAAGTCTACTTTCTATTGGCCACCACGACATATTCGTACTTTAGTCTACGTCATTACTATAAGTACTGTACTTTCATTTTAGGAGGATGGGCTGAAGTATATATATAAAATATTAATGGCTGCAGGATTATAGAACTGTCAACTTTTCCCCCCAGGGGTATTACAGCACTCTTTCTGTACAAGTGTCTGAAGGATATACCCAAGATAGTTCTGAGAGTTTGTTCTCAGGATTTTCCTGCCAAATCCCGGAGTAACAAGGGTTATTGCTCTTTCAAGCTTGCATAACCTTTACAGCCCAGCTGACACAGGAAATTGTTGCATTCCTTCTTGATTACTACATTTTTTACAGTAAAACATCTTCTGTTTGCTGGCAAAAGATGAAATAACCTTGGGCCTCTGATGCTGACAGTGTTCTCTAATTACACTTAAAGCACCTTTACATTTTATTCATTTATTCAACTGTAAATGAATAAGTTTATTCAGTTATATCTATTTATTTGGATTTTATTTATGTATATACAAGAAGGTACAATGGGTTTATGAGAGTACATAGCATTGATGTTTTTACATTCTTGTAAAGCCACTAACACGCATAGCGTTTCGGGCAGGGCCTTAATCTAACAGATAATTTTAAGTAGGTAATTTGTAGCAAAACTGAAAAAATTTAACTGCTCTCACTGTATCTTTTCTCCAGTAAGTAGCTATTTTGGTTTGTTGATTTATAACCTAACCTTCAAGTCCTCTATGTATTTCATCTTTTAATCTATATATTTATGTTTTGGATATCTAGTCTACCTTCAGATGTGATTACAAAACAAATCAAGGAATTTTCTAATGGTACTGACATTACAAATGTTAAAATTACACCCATAAAAATATGGTTTATATGGCAATCAAATGACAATGAATGGTTGAATTAAATACCTAGATCAATAGCTGAATTAACAGGCCACTCACCAACATTACAAAACATCAATACCAAAATTATCACTCTTCAATTCTCTGATAATAAAGACCTTACTTTAATTCAATTTCAGTTTTACAGTATAGCAGTCGTTTAAAACAGCTATACTGAACTTAACATTATCCACCTTCAAAGACTGAATATAGACCTGTGTACTTACTGTATTGCCTACAAAACATTATAGTCGACACCACGAGCATCCAGTATTAAGGCCAAACCACTTACATAAACATTGAACAATACCAAAGCATGGACAGAGCCTCGAGGAATGAAAGACAAAAGCTGATTTAAATTTGGAACCATTGACCATCACTTAACCTAACTGACCAGAAAGATATGACTTGTATAACAAAGCCATCTCTAAGACCACATACAAAAAGAACATCTATCAATATCAACAAAACATGGTCGGTTGTATCAAATACAGCAGAAAGTCCAACAAAATCAATGGTGATATTTCCTGAACAAGTATTCAGTACCAAATCCAAACACTCTACACAAGGCAGTTTTAGTTGAATGAAACAACCTATATACAGACTACAAACAGCAAGTAAATTCTCACTGATCAACACTAACAAACTCAATGAGCTCTGACAGGACATGTAACCAGAATCAAGTGAATGCTTAACAAGTGGATGAAAAACATTATATTTCATTTACTAAGAGAAAATTCTGTCATGAAGAAAAGAAGTTGATTAGCCCAGTAATGAGAGGAAAAGCACATACAAATACAGGTAGGTTCTTTGAGACCTTCACAAGCCCAACTCACACTAAGTCTTATTAGAATCATAAATATATTTAAAGACCTTTAAAAAAAAAGTGAACCACTTTATTTCCTAAAAGATTTAAGGACCTAAATTGTAATTAGAAAAATTGTACTTAATAATCAAACTCTTGATCCTTTTGTTGCCCCCCCCCCCACGCCTCCCCATGACTCGCTCTATATACAGTAATTATATTTACATCAATCTCTCATTTACTCGATCACCTTAACATGATCAAGTACTCTGCTAAATGTCTTGCATTCAATCAACCTTCAGGCATTTATGTTTGAACTAATGCCTGTGTTTTGTATACAAAGCTACTCGTGTGATGACCAGATCCTTGACAAAAGAATGCCAGGTAATCCAAGTCACCACAATAAAACTGGTGCTACACTTTAAACATGCTATGGCAAATAATACCCGCTCAACCATCCTGCTTTACAGCTCAACATGCCAGCTACAATTTTTCATCAAGATATTCCTACACTATCAACACTCGGTTTTTTGTAAGCATTTTAAGCACAACACGACACACTGTCCATTCACACACATTGTATGCTTAAGTTTCTTCATATAACATACTGTAATCAACTACTGTAGCTTGGAAAGCAATACTGATGGGTATAGTGTGTCACCCAACTGTTCAAAATACAAATACTAGTATACCAGAAAACTTATACTGCATTAAACTTTGCGGCTGATCTTGTAAATTACAAATACATTATGTAAATCTCGTTTAAAGTGAAAATACAGCAGATGCAAAGAATGCCAACAAGAAAAACACAACAAATCAACATGCTAGTTAAGCAAAGCATCACCACACTCATCGCTCACTGAACCACACCCTTGCGGGTCTTGGATGACCATTCGGGAGCCTCCCGGAGTCCTTGATTCAAGTAGTGAAAACTTTCTGGAGAGCCTACAGGAAAGGGTAATGCCTATAATCAACTTTAAACATAAAATAAATAATATTAAAAGAAGCACTAGACACAATGTGTGATGCCTATTTGGTATACAAGACACTTACAGAATAGCCAAGACAAACGTCTAACTCATAGTGTTAAGTCCAAATATAATTTCACATAATTTATATTACTGAATAATATTTATAACAGATAAACAGGTTACAGTGTTATTGAACTTGGTACACATACACACAAATTTAATTGTTTAAAAATGTCAAGAAATACCCTGATAAACCGGAGAACTTATCAAACCCACATACTATTTTAATATTATTCAAGCCCATGATTAGTTACTGTAGTTGTTAGGGTGTTTACTACTGCCTCAATATCCTTTGTCATTATGTCTTTGCCAATATGCCTAATATTTGAAGAATTTGCTTCTCCAACATGGTGTTAGTTCTCCGCTATTTATTGGATGTCCTTCGGCATTGTGCTTGGGCTTTTGTCATGCAGCCGATGTTATTTTCTCATGGTCCACCTCTTCTACCGTCTTCTCAACAAGGAAACCTTAGCTGCATTCTTTCTGTTTACCAAGTTGCTATTTTTTTTTTAATTAAGGCTTTCTCTGCAGAGGCACCAATGTGAGCTTGCTCGAGGAGCTAGAGAGAGAGAGGGCCCTCCAAAAAATCAAGAATGTAATAAAAAACACACTTCTGTCACCATCCTTCATGTTACAGTCTATCTGGTGGTTTGCCACACTTTACATGATACACATATCTTTTATCATGTTACAGTCTATCTGGTGGTTTGCCACACTTTACATGATACACATATCTTTTATTACAGTATTTTATCTCTCACTCTCTCTCTTGAGTTTCTACAATATCTTATATTTATCCTTTCTACTTCCCTACATTACTATCCCTATTCCCAAGTCAATGCTCTGTGTCTGGAATAAAACATTACATCTAAGTCATTATCATAAAGCATTCCCACTTTAATGGACTGGGGAAGGAACAGCCCAAAAGACACAACAGACACCCCCCATCGACTATCAAAATGTGGTACAAAAAGATCCATGTCCCATGTGATAAAGGAATGGAAAGACTGGGCTTGGGAGGTCAGCCAACATCACCTGGGAGGCTACGTGCATGCAACTCTCACTTATAAGGCACCGAGAGTTGGGAAACACCACCGTCATCAAATGTCACAGAGAAGGTTGAAGAAGCTATTAAAATTTGGATTCATGCTTGCTTCACATAATAATAAACTGAAATTAAAAGGTTTTGAAAATTCTTATCAATAAAAATATTCTTTTTAAAATTAATAAAAGTAATATGAAGTACTGTAGCACATATCTCTCACACACAGACAAAAATGAACAGCATAATTATTTTCAAGCAACAACATTAAAAATATTCTTCCATACATTCCTTGATTATCATAGCAATAGGTTTTGAAGAAAAACTATAATTATTGAAATGCAAGGGAAGGGATAACTAGGAAATATTACACCAAGTATTACGTACATTTAGGGTAATGTTATAATTATGATCTTACACGACAATGCTGACACACAATCTCTTGAGGTGCTACCAGATGCTAAAGCACTCTAAACGCTCACTAACCTAATCGCAGATGTTTATGTCTCTGATCTGACGAGGCTGAGCACAGCTGATAAAATATGTGGTAATTCCTTTCACACGGCGCCTGTAGAAGAAATCCAGATTGGCTATGCAGTTCACAAATATTCCATATCCTGGGTATAATACAAAGTACAAAAGAGCCATGCAACAGCTAGTTCACTATTATTCCATATTAAACAATAAAATAAACATGAAATATATCACTTCAAAAATGTAATGAGAAACAATAAGTATTTTATAAGACAAACCTGAAACACAACGCGTGATTTTTCTAAAAGGTATGTTCTCATATTGGCTCCCAGTATACTGAAGTTACGGGTGAAATCCAACTCGATATATTTTCCAAAACGTGAACTATTGTCATTTCTTGTAGTCTTTGCATTACCTATTGCCTGAAAGAAATGATATACAATTATGATGCTCTAATTTATTATTATAATATAAAATTACAATATTATGAAACATTTCTGCCTCACCTTCACCCCTAGATTGTTATTACTGCCTCACATTCACCATAGTTAATCATTATGATGAATTACTACACTCATCTTCTACAATTAATTATTACAGAATTAATTACTGCCTCACCTTCACTCCACACAACCATTACTACTAAACCTTCACTATCTCACTACTGTACAGTACTCCGGTTATATCTTGTGATACAGTTTAAGTGTTGTTGCTCCGACACACACACACACACATACACACGAGCCGAGTGTTGTGATGACACAATCACCACATTAAATTATGTTAAACAAGTAATGCTGTAAATTAGCTTTTAACCAAAATATCTACAATAAATCATTCATTCTATTTAACAAATTGTCTTAGAAAATCAAAAGCATTACATTTTCACTGGCATTGATGATTACTTGGCTTATGAATACTCTAAGAAAAAACAGGCATCAGTAGAAAATGTTCTAATCCATAGAAAACAACTGACATTGTCTTTCCTCTCACCTCCATAATTGGGTTTGACGCAAGAATCTTCTTTTCTATCTGCGTCTCTGAATCTGACCCACCGACACTTGCAAAATATCTCATGGCATATTTAGCTGATACAGTTTTCCCAGCACCCGATTCTCCAGACACAATGATACTTTGGTCTTTCTCGTCCCTAGAATAAAAAAGAACAATAAAATTAGCTCTGAAATTAGCAATATCATTAAGCATATTGCACAAACACAAAATCTTAAACCTCCTTATCCAACATCTGCATATAAGCACGAAGAGGTTGTGAGGATGGCTACAAGGCACCTGCAGATGGAGATAGGACCACAGGACAAATAGCTGCACCTAAGTGAGGAATTTGTAAGGCAAAACTTCTACCCAAGGAAACAGTAAGAGGCTGATAATTCAACAACATTGTCTGCATCTCATTCTCGGGAAACAAAAGGGTGTTAAGCTTGAGGGTAATTGCCAAAACTAACTCCTGAAATCAAATCCGACCTCTTTAGTCCATTCCACATGATGGTTGTGGAATGGCAGAGAAAACCTAGCACTCAATTCTTGAGCTATTAAGAGAGAATTACTGTACCAAGTGAATATACAGGGGGAATAAATACAGAACAAGGGTTCTGAACAAGTATGATAAATATAACATCAGTTATTACTCTGCTACAGTATACAAGTAAGAAAGATACCTTTCCATTTGTGTAAATGCCTCTTCTGCCACAGCGAAGATGTGGGGATCGAGGTCACCCATGGAGTGACCTCGATAAGCTCCAATAGTGTCTGGGCCATAGATAGGCAACTCCTCGTATGGATTGATGGCCACAAGGACAATTCCTGTTAAGAAGTACATAGTTATATCTTAAACATATTGGCAAAAGATGGTGCAGTATAGTTACACGAGTCTCTCTCATAAAAGTTCATAAACACTGCTCATAATACAACAGACAGAAGGTGATGAAATAAATTGGTAGTCATGTCTATGACAGCCTGACTTTTTTAGATTTATTTGAAACTTCCAACCATATCTCTTTCCAATGTACTAATTTCTCTGCACATATCTAGGATATGACCTTCAAATTATTACATGCACAATAAAATCTTTTTATGGTGCATGCAATTTAATTTTCCAAGCATCACTTTTGAGCTTAAATTGTTTTTTTGCATACTGCAGTGGTGTTATGCAGCCAATATTGATGAGGTGGTCATTATTACCAGTGTTAGGGTGCATTACGTCATCTAGGTACTGTCGTCAGGAGACAGAACTGTGCATAGCATAGTGACTAGAAAGACAACTTCTTTTAGCATGTGAAGCTTGCTACGGGAACCCTGTCGTGTATATGGTGATGTAGCCTGTTGTCAGCCAGGATAAGTGGCCAGGCAGGCCAATTGGTTATTAATTAACCCGAGTGCTCCATGTTTGTCTCCAATTGCCAAGGAGTGTTTCGAAGGTCTCAAAGTTTACATAAATTGAGAATCCAAAGATTATTTTGCTTAGATAGTATCCTTGAGCGCTCACTAGCACCATCATGACCCTGAAGGGCTGCTTACAAAGTTTTCTGCTGCACGAATACCAGAATGTTGCCCTGCCTGTATGGTGCAGTTTGTACTGGAAATGCTGACAGGTACCTTTGGAACCGAGTGAATGACCGAGCTCATACATTATGATTTTCTGTATTCTATCACAACTTATGTCATGTGGCTTAAAGGAAATTGAGATTTTCGTAACACATTATAAAATACAAATTGATGGAATATCTCGGAATAAATACTATAGGATTGCATTTACTCAATATCTTAAAAGTAGTTTTTGCCATTACCCCCATTTAGGTAACCTACCGCAGTATGTGTAGATGGCATTGTGATTGCCGAAGCGCACTTGCAAGTTGTAAAGGACAGCAGGTTCATGGAGATATGATAGGGAGGTGAGATCATTTTCGCCTATAAGAATGTCAGGATTCCGCAGAGGGGGCAGGTCTTCGTCGCTTTTTACCTTGAACTCATCAGTCTGTAGATAATTGTTAAGACACATTTATGACCTAAAAAATTTGGCTCTAATACTATCATATAAATAATACTTTGATAAAGTGGTGCCCTTATCAGATAATGATAACTTTATTCAGTACCAAGTTGTGAAGACAAATACATGTACTATACAATGCCAACCAATACTTATCAGAAACAGCAACTCTACACTAATTCGTGAACAACATTAACTTCACTCTTCTCATATTGCAAATCATGCACACAAGAATACACAGCTACCATCAGTATTTTGTTTTTTAAGTAAAAAAAAAAAATTCTTGTCAGTCCAGGAATTTTTTATTTAGCAAAATAACACTAGCTCGTCATTTATTATTGTTGAGTGTTGCATCCACTAACAGTTAACTTTTGTGAATGCAAAACATTGCAGTTTACATGCATGATTCATTATACAGCAGAACTCGTCTTATGGCTAAACTTACAGAACACAGTATTTTGTTTAAGGATGTATTTAGAAACTCACCACTATAAAAGGGTATTGCACCTAGATGCATTTATTATTCTTTAAAAATTAGCTTTATGTACTGAACACAAATTTCCCTCCCAACACAAACATTTTGAAATATTTAAACGTGACTCATTAATGCTGGCACGTGATGTATTGAGCCAGAGTAATTGCCAGCTACCTAATTATATATTGAACTATAAATGACATGCAAATGGATTCTTATATGCAACATAACTTTACAACATAGCATATGCACGGACAAACCAATAATAATATACATGCAACATCCCATAGTCAAAATAAATTTCTAATGGATCAAATTACAGGTAAATGCAATTTTCTGAACCATCCCCACTTTACTCATCTCTAAAACAGGATCCTAATCCCATCTGGTTAGGATCTGTCAGTCAAGGTAGGTTAATATTCCACACTAAAACAAGGGAAACTTTCAAACTGTAACCCCAAGGCCATACTGGCACTAGGGAGACAATAGAGGATATTAAATCCAATCCAGAATGTTGACAGAAAAGTGCATTACATTTTACACCACAGTTCCACATTAAATGAAATGTCATGCAAAACTATAACAATAGGAATATGAAAGAAAAAATCAAAAGGATAACCATGCATAAATCCATTTTCTTTCATGCCAAGATGCGTATGTCTATCTTGCTTCATTTCCTCATTATAGCCTAATTTTCCACTGTCAAACTGTGAGGAAGTATTAGCAGAGAAAAATAGAAAGCAGTAAAGGAAATGAAAGCTTTGATACGGTTCATTCAAATAAAATGACCGAGTCATTCAGCAAGTCTTATAGAATACGTAGCATGAGAAGCTGCACCAACACACTTCAGCAAATGGTCCACGGCAGCCCCTCTACCACCTAATATAACTTGATATACAGGGAGCTTCTCATGAATTGCAATATACTGTAGAGTACAATAATCCTGCCACTATCCAGAAACAAATATATATTCATGAATGTAATTCAAATACACAAAACACAAGAAAAGCATTAGCATAACAAGCTTCCCCAGTGATGTGGTGGGGTGCATGCTTCAGATTGGCATGTGACACCTTTTGCTAGGGTGGTACAGGCTGCTAAAAACCATACAAATACTTCCAAAGCGTGCACAAACTGATTCAATCAATACAAAGTAAAAATCACCATGTGCATTTTTAAAATGGGACATTAAAATTAAAGTCGGCAAATCAACTGCATGCATGCATGCTAAACCAATATTTCATACTACTGTACACAAATTGTGGCTATCTTGTATACAGCATCCAAAGAAAATTATGGATTAATTAAAAGACAAAAACATAGGATACCAATAAATAAATGTAAGCAATGTTACAAGACATGGACAAGATATACTCATGCCACACTATCTTGTCATAGAACGACACGAAATACCAAACACACTGTGTTGCCGAGGAGTGACAAAACACGTTCATGCCAAATGCACACGGCCGTCCAGCATTCCTGACTTACACGTTGCACCCCCTGTGGGGACCAGCAGCAAACAGCAGGATCCAAAGTTATTTCAAGCAGAGCCACACGTCAGAGTCAAGGTGTGATGAAATCAGTTACATGGGTGTGCATGGGAAGAACAGAATACAGAAGACCTTTTTTTTATCTCTACCAATCTTATCTGCTGAGAAAACTACAAATCCTATATAAACAGGTATAGCTGGGACAATAGTAAACGTACCATAAATACCAATCATAGCTGAAATATCAGATATAGTTCAAGTTATTGGCTAATATACAGTAGAGTACTAGCAAATAGAAAATGGGAGGATTATAACAAATACTGGTATTAAAAAAAGGGGCATTGAGAAATACTAACGTAAAAAAGAAAGGTTTACAGTCTTGGGCCAACCCTAAACTTTCATGGAGCCCAGAATGTCGCTAGCTCAGATTTCAGTCATTCAACAATGATTTTATACTATAATTTTTGCTCTATTTTGAAAAGCAGACCAGATTGGGAAATAAGCAGCGATTTCTCAAAATTAATTTGAGAATTATTTGAATAAAGAGCCCTAACTTCATATAAGGATTATGTACATGGTGGATATATAGGCTTGAAGCATTGAACTGTTTGGATACAGGCCAGTGGGAAGCCATGATATTTGGATAAAGTATAAATTTAGATGAAATAATTGACATTGTATGAACAGTGAGATTTGTATCATGTATCCAAATTGCTACACTTTACTGTGAACCACTGTCCTGCATTCAATATACAAACAATCTTTAGGTTAGGGTTCATAATTAAGAATTCTTGATGTAGTTCCAAGGCAGCCATGAAATTTTTTCCACTTTAACTCTGCTTTTGGGATTGGAGAGAGGGAGGAAAGTGCAATTGTAAATGCTTAATTGCCCTAACCATAACACTAGATATGAGAGAATTTATAAGTTGTGCTGTACTGTACTGCAAACCAACTTCAAGCATAATTTAAAGGCATCTTGAGTTATAAAAACCCCATTTGGAAGATTGACCACTAACACCACAATCATCAGGATACAAAGAATCACAACTACTCATATTTCCTTCAATATTTTCTTTCTGAATTCTGTATATAGTAAGCGGAGCACAGCAGCTTCAGCTCTGCACCATAATAACCAAACAAGATGAGCGGGCCAAGAGTAGCCGCAGAGTACCAGAGGTGGTGGTGGAGGGAGTGTCCAGTACCTGAGAGTCAGCATAGATGACAGACACCAGGTGATTCTTGTAGTCCTTGGTGAGCTCAGCGCACCGCCACACCTGCACGGGGTCCGGGATCCATACGCGGGCGCCCTGAACACAAAAATAAAAATGTTACTACTATAGTGCTATATTTCATATGATAAAAACCCATTGAAGACATCCATAGCCTAAGAGTGGGGAACAACATGAAGCAAAGATCACATCACGGGGCACAACAGACCATTCTTATGGAGGTGCACACCAAACTTCACTAATAAATAATATCATTATAGGTGAAGGAAACTTAGAAAAAAGTGATATGCTTGGATAATAGTAATAAATAAATAAATAAATAAAATGTTGCTTGAGGATCATTGATGCTTGTATACACTATGTAATAGTCCATATGATGTCAACATGTTCAAAAGTTTAATGAAATAATTGAATTTATGCCTCCACAATAGTGGGGTAATGTAAGTACTGTAGTATGTGTAGGTTCACCTTCTTTCAATACTTAAAACTTTATTGATGTACGTGCATACATGTGTATGTACGAACGTACGTGCATATGTATGTGAATAGAGTGGGGAGTGAACTTATCCTTGTGTGTCTTACCATTAGGAGTGGGAAATGAAAAGTCTACGGACTACACTTGCCACACTTCACTACCAAGTTCTCGCACAAACCTAACACACCAATATAACAATTATTCCCCCGACCTGCATACCTGTTTACCTACTCACTCACAGACATACCTACACCACTACCTACCCACCACCCACACACGAACACGCACTCTGGCCGAGTGGACAGCACTCGGCGGTCGTGGTCCTAAGGGCCCGGGTTCGGTTCCTGGTCGAGGCAGAAACAAATAAGCAGTTTCCATCCTGATCCCACATCCACACCTACCAACACCCCCCCCCACAGACCTACGAACCATAACACATCCTTAACTACTCACCCAGAGCCATGTTCGCCCATACACATAGTATGAACTTGCCTATACATCTGTTAATCCACCCATATACTCTCAGCCACACTCTTGCTTCTCGACCCCCCCCCACTCATCGACCTGCCCCCCCCCCACACACACTCCTACAGTAACGACACACGAATGTCCAGACTCATCTACTACCATCATACTTTATTCAAAAAGGTTCCTACCCATGCCAAGCCCACACACACGGCCCCCACTACTTCCCTGCCCCACCTCAAGCCCCCACACACACCCATCACGCACACACCTCGACCAGCGTGCGCGCACACGCACGCCCATCACCTGTAATCTGCCACTTAGTTGTCGATGAACTATTTTAGTAACACCCAATCCTCCTGCTCCTCCTCCACTGCCTGCCCCTGCTCCTCTTGCTCACTACCATTGCAGTGATTGATTGATGAAGATTAAGCCAGCCAAGAGGTGGCACGGGCATGAATAGCCCGCAACATGATAGTGAGGAACTGTCTCCTTGTACAGCTCCTTCGTGTATATTTACCCCCCCACCCCCCGGCAGCTTCTCGTCACCTCTACACATTCTCAAGTGTAACATACACTTCCAGGCTTGGTGCCGTCTTTTCATAATTACTTACACAGTGCCTTCAACGATCAGTTGAAGGTCTCCGTCGCCCTCTCTCTCATCTGCCTCTCTCCGTTCCTCTCCTTCCCGCCTCTCACTCTTCCTACGTTTTCTTCTCTCAACAGTCTATATTTAGCCCGGGCTTTCAGCTGGGCCAATGCAGGTGTAATCCCAAAAGCCATCCGGACGAGTATATTTTCAGTACAAATTGTGTAATGGCCTCACGGGAGACATCTCCCGTCACGCAGGGTGCAGCCGCACCTCCACAGATCTCCAGTATCGTCTATTGATACTGGTAATGGCTCAAAAGGGCCTCCACTTACGGGCTAGTCGTGCCCGTACCACCTTTTGGGTGGCTTAATCTTTATCAATCATTCTGTAATGGGCACCAGTGCCTCTTGAGTGCCGGTACAGCGTTCCGGACACATTGACCCTACACTGTACTGTAATAGACTGATAAACAGCTTCTCTACCAGTGCATCAAGGTGGTCGCTGCTGCCGTGTATACCAACATTAAGCCAACCTTTGGGTTACGCACACAAGTCTTAGTTTAATTCCTTAACAGGAGAGGAAAACCGGAGGAAATAAGGCCCTGCAGTCGAGTCAGATCAATCTGCTATCTCCTATCTGGTGACGGTGATAATTATAATTTACAGACACGTCGACTACTTGGTTAAAGTGTGCATATTTCACATTATAAATACTAAATAATTGTGGCATTATACAGTGTGAAGTTTGAGAGAATACTCTTGATGAACGCTGCACCTGTGAAGGCTGGTCACGGACACACATTGCCTCTGACACCAAGACCCAAGTCACTGTAGCAGTACACACCTAACATTCCTCAAGAACCCTAAGCCTCCTCCTTCACCTGTCTGTACAGTATACCTAGGCTCATAAAAATATTTGTGTGTACGTCTGATACCATACTACTTGTCTAAAGGAGGAAATGTATATGTATCTCTCAGAATGTTCGGTAATACGTTTATTGCTTGTGATGTGTGTCTATGTATGTATTAACACGATGTACTGAACGGGGTGAGAATAGCTTGAGCTACCTCATCCCTTTGTATGGATTTTACCTCAATAAACTTATTTCAATTTCATTCTTCACCAATCTCCGCCACATTCCCACACAGCAAGTCCAACCCACAGGATATATTGCTCTGCACCACAACGAGCAACAGAGTGCTCGTGGATTTTCGTAAATAAACAACACTTAGTGTGGCTGTTATCCTTTAGCCACAAGAGAGGCTTCCCAAGGCACTCAACAGTTTGGGTCGACGGAGCGCACAATTTCCCTCCTCCAGTATGAAGATTTCTCCCAGGTTTAATGGTGGTGTAATGAGGGAATTAATAAGGTTAAGGTGGAAGACAGATGCAAAACTAATGCATCAACACATTGATACCTGGTTGATGGGGTTCTGGGAGGTCTTCTACTCCCCAAGCCCGGCCCGAGGCCAGGCGCGACTTGTGAGTCTGGACATTCAACTAAGGACCACCATTAACTAACATATTGAATGTTAAAATATGGTTACCCCATTGTTGGGGACAGGAAGCCTGTTAATTAAGCTTATGGAGACTACCCCTAGGCCAACGACAGATCTCTCCAGGGACGCAGCCCACAACAGTTGCTTAACTCACAAATACCTCGTCACAGTCCAGTCAGTTGTGGTGAAACAAATGACTCACCCTGTAACAATGCAGACACACTGACCAAAGAGCCAAAGTTCAACCCCCGCAAGCACAATTAGGTGAGTACACAGTGGTTTCCAACGGTGACATTAGGAAGGTCAACTGAACGTAATTGTAATAACTCAAATTGGAAATATACTTATTGTATAACGAACTTATAAGTCGTCTTAGGATTGTTTGGTTGGACGAGTGGCAGTTTTGGGTTGGTGGTTCTTAATCCTGTGTGGCGAGACCTTGCATTCCTTTGCAGCCTTAATGAGTATGGTTAAAACTTCTTCCTCTAGTGAGGTTTTGAAGGAAACTATTTCAGAGTGAATACCAATTCGAAATTAGAGCCTAAAAATCGGATATGAAGGTATCGTATATAGGCGAGGAGGAGGAGGAGGATTAAGGGCTTTAGGGTTTAAGGAAGCCGTAGGTTATTCCAACCCGTTCTCGCACTTTCGTATAGTCAATATTGACTTATTAAATACGTGCATATGTGACATACTAATTTATTGTGAATATTTTAGTTTACCTTGAAAAGCTTCATAGAAAACACCGACCTTACCTAACCTTCTTAGTCATTGGTGGGGGAGAGATCAGGGGTGGGGGGGGGGTGAATATGCGTGAAGGGAGACACATAAGGGAGGAGTGACGCGTGCAGAAGGACTGGTGGACACGACTTACAGGCTGGGTCACTGTTACACCACACCAACACCACACTTAAGCTGACAGGTGAGGCCCAAGTCACACCACGCCACGGCTACTCTGTGGTCACGGCTCCTCTTTGGTCACGGCTCCTCTTTGGTCACGGCTCCCCTTTGGTCACGGCTCCTCTTTGGTCACGGCTCCTCTTTGGTCACGGCGCCTCTTTGGTCACGGCGCCTCTTCGGTCACGGCGCCTCTTTGGTCACGGCGCCTCTTTGGTCACGGCTCCTCTTTGGTCACGGCTCCTCTTTGATCACAGCGCCTCTTTGGTCACGGCGCCTCTTTGGTCACGGCGCCTCTTTGGTCACGGCTCCCCTTTGGTCACGGCTCCCCTTTGGTCACGGCTCCCCTTTCACGCACGCCGAGAGAGAGTAAGCGAGCTAGAGAGCGAGAGAGAGGTGGGGGGGGGGGACTAGAGGGGGCACTACATGTACAGAAGGGGGTGGGAGAGAGAGGGGGGGGGGAGGGTGTAGGAGAAGACAAGGGTTGAGAGGGAGACGGGAGCGTGGGAGACAATACAAGAGGTGAATTGTAAGTACCACAATAACTCACCACCAGCCACCATCACCACCACTATCCCGCCACAATTGTTTCACCTCCCACCACCACCACCCCCCACCCCCCACAAGGGCCACTTATTACAACCCTCAACTTATCGCAGAAAAAGTCCCCCCTCTTCCCATCTCCCCCCCCTCCTCCTCCATCTTAAGCTGGCCGACACAATATTGCTCTAAACTTTGGGTTGTGTTAACAACTTGGAGTTGATATCATCACGAAGATTCACACCGGAGACTATAAGGCTGCCGCCTGGTCCAACCACGCCTCTTAACACGACGGAACAACCTTACTAAGGAATAGTGATGTTACTAAGGAGGGACTTACTTCAGTCTCCCACCTCTACTTCACTCCTCAACTTTCTCTTAATTAATTTAAGTACAACACATAATAATAATAATAATAATAATAATAATAATAATAATAATAATAATTATTATTATTATTATTATTAAAGCCCCGTGGGGCGGCAACGTCAAAATTCCGTTCAATATAACCTGTCCCCCCCTCCACCACCCCGGGGGAGGGGGGACCATCCACCACCCTGGGGGAGACGCCTGAGGACCTATCATGCCCAGCATACCCTGCCTGCAGCAT